GCATCTTCTCAGAGACATTGTCTTGGTCAGTCTCAGTAGGTCTCCCAGATTACACTCCTATATTTGAAGCAGAAATTTTAGCAAATATTTTGGGTCTAAGAAAATTTTCAGTCAATGATATGACAGTTGTTATTGTTACTGATTCATTTTCCATATGTTGATTCATAGTCGCAGCTTCTTCATTCAAGCCCCGCCGCGGTGGTCTAGTGGCTAAGGTACTCGGCTGCTGACCCGCAGGGCGCGGGTTCGAATCCCGGCTGCGGCGGCTGCATTTCCGATGGAGGCGGAAATGTTGTAGGCCCGTGTACTCAGATTTGGGTGCACGTTAAAGAACCCCAGGTGGTCTAAATTTCCGGAGCCCTCCACTACGGCGTCTCTCATAATCATATAGTGGTTTTGGGACGTTAAACCCCACATATCAAGCTTCTTCATTCAAGTATTTCCCTAGGAATGCTTTCGCTGCTTTAGTCCCAAAACATTTAGGTACAGTGCGATTGGTGTGAGTGCCTGGTCACTGAGACATATATATAAATGAAATGGCTGACACTCTCGTGCGTAGGTTTCTAGATGGTCCTGTAATGTCCATTGTACCTGATACCAGTTTTGTCACTGAATCTCGATTTTGTAAATATCCTTTACCCCAGGATTCTATGAAAACTAGATTACCAGTTAAATAATACGATAATCTTTTTTTTTTGCTTGAAATAACAAATAGGGCCCCTTTCACAAATTGTAAGTGTGCATCACAAAATTTTGATGCCGAATTCCGGTTCTTAATTTCTATTTATACAGGTCTGTTCCGGTGCCATCTCCCCTTTGTTTTTACTGTCAAGAGCCATCGATCTTTTTTTTTTTGCTATCTGCCGATGTTTCACAAGCGACGTGAAGAAACATTTAGAAACTATATTCAGGAAATAAAACATTACCCTTAATTCTGAAAATAAATTTTCCCTTGGGGCTTCTTGTTTGGGCCACAGCAGCAGGAGCGTCTGCGTAACAGTAAGTGTATTTCTGAGAGACACAAGAAGGATTCCTTGTTAAGTTTCCTTTTTGCCCTTTTTTACGTAATGAAATTAAAGTTCTTTAAAATTACCATTCATTGTTTTCTTTTAATAATTAGATAGTTACTTACTTTATTCATAAGTCACCTTATAATTATCCACTCCTATATTTTCTAGATGGCTCAATAATTATTTTTTCTTCTTCGAAATTTCACAACTCGTTTTCCCCATTACAATAACCACCAGGTAAATGACCAATCCCCAATAGTGGGTACGAGCAAAAGCATATAGGAACAAGCAACCAAGGAAGCTTGCCCAACGAACGGGTGTTCGCTCTCCGAGTCTGTCCGTCACTATGGCGCACCTCAACGACTGATCCTAGCGGCTGATACCCCCTGTACCTCGTGCCTCGTGGGTTGTTGGCAGCGCGGGTCTCTCCATCATAGCAACGCCGTCCACGCTTCCTCGACCA